ACGGTAGGCAAATAAATGTTATAAATTGAAATAAAAGCCCATTAAGAATACTGTTTTTTAATAAGATTAAGAAAAGCTCCACAATCCCTTATACTTCCCAATTCAAAACACAACTTTCATTAGTCCTCCTGAGAAAAAAAAACCAACATTCATATCAAGAATGGTTTATATTTGTCAAAGTGATACTCACTGCTGAAGCTACCTGGCTGTTATAGGACACACTGCGCGCTACATCGCAGTTTTTTAAATCGTTACGAATTCAAGGGGCAATCTGAACTGAGTGTCACATAAGCTTTGTTAGATGGCAGCGCCTGTCTGGTTTTTTATTCTCACAGCAAGACCCTTTAACCCTTAATAAAGCAACAGGGGGCTTTTTGCCTCCACAAAACAGACCTAGAAAATCAGATGATTTACCACAGTCCCAAAAGATTAGCTTTTACAGCAAACACCCAATTTCTTCAATATCCAAATATACAACTTTATTCCTTCTCTATCCCTCATGCCTGAGCCAATGTACTGGCCTACATTTATGGTTTACCAATTGTTCACTATTCAGCAAAAGGGAATAATATAAAATACCTACTCACAGTTCTTACGGCCATCAGTCAAAACTGATCTCTTGTTTTCAAAGCCCTTCAGGCACTTTAGAAGTTGCACAAATCCTTCACACAGTAACTTTTAAGTTCATTCCAGCAGAATCCAACCAAAAAATAAATGGCGATAATGACTCTCAACTATTTAAGTGACAATTTTCTTTAATTCTCCTATAAAATAGAGGGGACCAAACACTACAAGGATTTCATTCCAGACAGAAAAGACAAGTAAAACATAAAAAGAGAAAGCACTCCAAAAAGAGGAAGCACGCCAAAATTAAACAAAACAAAACAAAGAGGAAGACCAGACACCTTCAGCCGAGATACAATTTACTAAAGGGAAGGTGGTTTTGAGACAGAAGTCAGCACTTTATTAGATTGGGAACTTCAAGTCTGATGCCTCCAGTACCAGTGAGTCTCACTTGTTGTTTATGCAAGATTTCACATCAATTTGACACTAAAGCTGGCCCCTCAAGGTGTTAGCAATAGAAGATATGTAGGATGTAGAAAAAAAAAAAAATCATTCTTGGCATTACAAGACAGGCTTCCAAACAGAACGCTTAGCTCATCCTCAAAGTTTTTCATAGGGTATCTCATACCCATGCTGAATGAAAATAACAAGACTAAAGAATTTACAGTTGTCTTTGAATAGTCCAAGCAAAATGAGCCAAACCAATGCGCCTTATCCATGCAAGACTGAATCTCAATTAAAAACTCATATCCAGACATACTGATGTGTAACCCCACTGGTAAGTGCCCACACGGATTGTGACTATATTCAGAGCTTTATTACAAATTTTCAGGATTTGTGGAAAAATACGTACTGTGTGAATTAAGCACAATAATTAGCAATCCTTCTCCCCTCAAATTGTTGTTTCCTCCCATTCAACATGGTTGCATGGAAAGACTGAAAGAAAATCACTGAATTGAACAAGTCCATCATAATCAATATAATTTGTTTTCATAATTTGAAGAAGAGAAAACAAATCTATTCCGCAAGTCAGAAAGAAAGAGACTTGGTCTTCAAAAGAGCTACTTAGTAGATTTAACCTCATGGGAAGATTTTTTTAAAAATAAATAGCTGTGGTAATTGTTAATTGCTAAGCCACATCTTTCAGAAGAAATACACTACCCAAAACTTTGAGTAGAACAAAACAATTTTGTAGCTCTGTTTATCTACATGGATGCAGAATTTGAGATCCTTCAGCAGAAAGCTTACCTTTGAAATAGGAGTAACTTCACGCATTTCGAGATGCAGACTGCACACTTACTCAGAACAGCCAGCAGAAACCACAAGGATTAGCTGAGAAATGAACAGTTATTCTGTCACTATGCCTGCATTTCAATTCCCTAATCTTAATCCACAGGCATTCAGGAACATTAGTTAAAATGCACTTACATAAATAGCTTGATGTTTTATGTCTTTCTTTACAAAAGAATTACCTGAGATTATGGCAGTTCTTTTCTCATATTCCAACTCTAAAAAGTAACATCGGATGGCAACCAACATTATTTGTAATGCAAAATTAGGTAAACCTATTTTCTTATGAAAAAAACGCATAGCCTATCTCCTTCAACATCAATATTCACTTTTGTTTTAAAAGGATAATCAAAACAAGCTTTCCTCCATTAAGGAAGAAATACCTTTACAAGGAACAAAAAGCCAGTATCAATCATGTTCTAAAAATACGGCAAAGGTTAACATACTGCGGAGAAGCGTTCACTCCACAAGTGCCAAATTTTTAATAACAAAAACCCCCATTTATTACAACAGAATACTGCAAACAACCAGTTTCAGTCATCAAAGAACAAAATTTTACAAAACTGCAAACATTGTAATTTCTGACTGTGGAGCGAAGAGTATTCCAGGTTTACAAACACGACATCTTTTTGTTTATGCACACTTAAAAGTGATTTCCAGCCTGCTTTATTTTCCAGCAAATACAGTACATTTATCCAAACAAAAGCATGTACATTCAATATAGAACATTTTGAGCAACAGCTACAGTCCAGTTCCCATTCACAGTATTTTTAGTGCAATGCACTAACAGGGCCAAATATTTCTCTATCCATAAAAAGTATTTTTACTCCTGATCTTGTGATCAACATTTTTAGATATATTTTATACAAAAAGTATATATGAACACGAGGCACCTCCCTAAGTAAGGGAGTGAACCTATATAAAAAACATGGTATTTCTTCCGATGTACAATACCTTTCAAATTGTAGCAATTTGACACAAATCACTAAACAAAATATTTTCTAAAAAGTAAAAAAGAAAAACCAAAACGAAACAGGAAAAAAAAACACCCAAACCACTGACGCATGAATCCTGCCAAGAATTTCATAATGGTAGGCATGCGGCTGCTTTACTACAATCTTGATTAAAATGTTAAAAAAGGGATCTAAAACGTTTTCCAAGTGATACAAAGTCAAGTGCTACCTATAGTGGTCATACATGATCTCGAGAGAAAAAAATATTTTGAGTTTCTCCCATACTATCCTCCCTTTTTATTAATATTTAATGAAATAAGCTAACATTATAAGTGGTTGTGCACAGATTGTCTGTCTATAATACATCAGCAAATATTCACTACCTTCATATTAACATTAGTGTGTTGATTTTTCAAAAAATAAAACTGAAAAAATAAACTGCAACTATCATTAAAGTGCTTGTGTATAATTTTTTTTAAAAATTAAAGAATAGAGGAATGTGGATGTTCTTGTAAACTTCCTAAATGTTTACAAAGTTGTCCTATGCATCACATACAGAAACAAAATAGAGATCTTTGAAGCAACTTCAGTATGGTGAAATTCAGAATGTCCCAGAACGGGGAAATTAGTCAATATGAACAAACTGATGTTATGGCAAATACTAAAAATTAGTACAGTTCAGCCAATATACACTACATTGTTTGCTCTTATACATTCACTTGTAATAAATTTAAAACAGTATATAACACATTTGCCAAAGCAGGATATCACAAAGAAGTCAGAGCTGTTCATCAGTTAGCACTACAAGGGAGGACCAGTATGCACAATGAGCTCTCCAATTCCCTAAATGAGGAACAAAAGTCTTCTTCCAAAGCTGCTGTCCATTAACTTGCCTCTGTACTTGTTTTAATTTCAGGAAGTTTGTTCTATACTCTACCAAACCTCAACTGCATACAGATAGCTGCTAATTTAGAAGCACATGTGGATTTCAACTACTTCAGTGTTCTAGAAAAAGGCACTATTCTACGAGCAGTCAGAATGGTCATTAATTTAGTAAGAAAACAGTAGTTTATGAAAATATTTCCTCCTCATAGTACCATTATCAACAGATTAGCAGTTCCAACAACAAAATAGTCTTTTTCATTCAAATGAACTTCAAACTTTCTGAACATCTCTACCTGAGGAGAAATGGGAATAAATTAATACTTTGAGTTTACCCATACAATTCTGTTTTAACTGATGCAATATAAATAATTTATAAGGCTAAGTTTTTAATTCTTGATCAATATGCAGAAGTCATTTGTTCTCTTAAATTCAGTGTAATTCAGGGTCCAGCTCAGTTTGTTTTTGAAGTTTCATCCCACTTAGCCAGGATTTGTTACAAAGTCACAAAAGCACCAGATTACAATTGAACATAGCTGGGTGGCAATTCACCACCAGAAATCGCCAGATTTCTGTATGTATTTAGGCTTAAAACAAAAATTCTTCAAGAGACTCAAACACTTTAAAAGATAAATGACTTGAAGTCTCCAAACCTGTGCTTATATAAATAAGCATTAAAAGAATAAAATCCTAAATTTGATGCTTTTAAAGGTGTTTGTAGGCACCTAATTCATACTGATTTTAAATCAAAGCAATTAAACATCCAAATTACAATCAAAAAAACTGTCCTACGCCCTTTTGTTGACATGGCAATGATAATACACATTAAAATAAAAAAAAGCATGCATGATAATTTCAGTAAATTCATAAAGATTTTTTCTGTCAACAGCTTTTACCGTAGCACCTTTAGTACTTCTTCAACTGGGTCACAGAGAAGTTAATGAAGAGGTTAAGTTATTCAAACCATACAAAAGTATTGTTAATTTTTAAAAATTACTAATTTAGAAATGTACGTATATTAGCTTGATTACAACAGATGCCTTAAGACAATTTAAAGAATTGACTCGGTACAGTTTAATCTATAGTCTATTCCAACTTCCTACAATGACAAATTTAGAAATTAATTCATTTCCAAAATACCAAAAACAAAATTTAATAAACAAACCTGACATCTACCTTAATATTTTAAGCCACTACACCATAAAATCTATAAAAAAGCATGTTTTCGGCAATAAATCAACAACAGTAGGTGAAAGGCAGTGGGTTTGTTTTGTTTCTTAAAAATAAAGAGACAAAACACTTTTTGTTTCCTCACCAGACAACAGCTTTAGATCTTGTACTTCTGCCTTTGGTTTTATTTTCTTCAGGTGAATGAGATACATTTGCTTTGTGGGTTTTCTTATGATGTTCTAGAAAAGCTTTTCTGGCAAATGCTTTCCCACATTTATTGCATCGATGCAGAGAAAAGTTTTTTGTTACTTTTACTTCTATGCCAACATCAGCTCCTTCATATTTTTTATTGGGAGAATTAGAGGTGACATCCTGTTTTGAAACAATCTGTTTTGTTTCTTCCCTCTGAGGGCCTCTTTTTGTCACCTTATTTAGAACAAGATCAATTGGCTTTTTTATTGCTCTAATTTCTAAACTTGCAGTTATTTTCCCAAGGTAGCGCGGTGACTTTTTATGAACTACAGTTATGTGCCTTATCACATCACGTTTGCGGCGCGTTTCGTAAGAGCAGAGCGGACACCTGTAGTATTTAACGTAAATGTTATTTCCATCTGTGTGCAATTCAATATGTTTTGTCAAGTTCTGTTTAGAAGTAAATTGGCGTTTACAAAGTTTACAGTAAAGCTGCTTGAAGTCAAAGCCAGCTGAAAGTTTTGGCTTTCTGGTTTTTTGCTGGCCACCTGCAGCAGATGCATTGGTTGATTTAGAAGCTGATTTAGTGGTTGATTTAGAGGTTGATTTAGTAGCTGATTTAGAAGTTGATTTAGGGTTTTCAGTGTCCTGTTTAACTTTATTTTTCTGTGCTGACGGTGTGCTTTTTTTCTCATTTGAATGATTTGTTCCCTTTAATTCATTCTGTGGAGAAAGGGCAATGGAAGGGGGTGAAGGTTCTACAGAATCTGCTGGTTCAACTTTTACTTTTATTTCTGTGCCATTGGCAGTATTGTTGGGTCCTTTCTCTCTTTTAGAGTTCTTTCCAGAAAGAGTTATCTTGTGAACAATTTGCATGTGCCTTTTCAGCATTATTTGCGAACTATATTTTCTCTTGCACAGAAGGCATTTGCATGCAGTTAAATTGTATTCAGCCTTTGAAGACGACTTTTGTTTTCGGGTCTTAAAAGATTTTTTAGCAGAAACTGTATCCAAGAACAAAGGTTGCCCAGGCTTTGTAGCTATATCAGGAGTAATGGAATCCCTTCTTAATCCTCTATGAACTTCATCAAAATGCCTCCTTACGTTGGCTTTTGTAGCAAATGATTTATAACATACAGGACAACTTCTACCTAATGCTACAAGAACATTCTTATTTCGTCCTTTCACAGAGCACTGATTTGGCTTCTTTTTTGTTTCTATGTACTTCTTTAGCTCTTCCATCTTTTTTTTGTGCACTTTTCGAATGTGCCGGCGTACACTGCGTCTGGAATGAAATTCTTTCCTACAAAGGCAACATATCAACTGGTGGCCAAAATCAGAATTATCCAGAGAGTCCAACTCAGGATTTACTGCTGGAGGCTGTTCTTCAGGAGTAGGTATCACCTTGTTTGTAACGGGATCAGCAGGAGGTAATTCTACAGCCTCCCCAGCTGTGACTGGGGCTGGAGCTGAAACAGTCTTGGGTTGCTCAGTGCTGGGCTCCTGTATCTGTACTGGAGCTTGATCAGGGGTACTACCGCTTTCTGTGTTCTCGTCTGGGCTATCAGTCCTTGATACATATTGAAATACAGCATTCTGATTAGTTTCTATAGGTTCCAATTTAATTATATATTCTTGTTTATCTACTCTTGGATAGATAGCTTCCAGGAGGTCATTTATGGCTTGACTCTGTTTATCATTTACATCTGGGAGGTCTGTGAAAAGAGGCAAAGGTATTTTTATTATTTGGTGATTTCAAACTACTTAAATATCAAAGTATCTTTTAACCACTGTATCAATTCAGTCATCTAATTTGTATAAATCCTGGTTTTGTACTATTTTTCTGACAATTTATACTTAGAGACTGAGTGATCATTTTTATCACATCACTACAAGCAACTTTTTAATTAAAAGCCAATATTGGAAGTACACCTTTCTAGTGTGCTAATATGAAAGCCACCAAACCTAAAAATTAGTTTGCCTGGAATTAAATTGTTCTTTAAAAATCTGTATCAATTGCAAAATAAAAAAAAATAGCATATGACTGAGCTCGTTCTGCAGGTGTGTAACTAAACCTGAAGTATCATTATAAACTGATTTTCCTACTGCTGAAATGGGCATTCTCAATAAGGGAACCTAATTATGGAAATAAGATCTTCTCTGAATTCTGAACAGTCCTTAAGAAAGAATGAAGTGTCTGTGTAACCTGAGCACTGCATGAAGAGATAAGTAGGTAAGAAAGAACTTAACTTCTGGGGCAGGGAAAGCTTTTCGTAATACCAAAGCTAATAGGCTCATAGATAGAGTAAAATAGTAAATATTAAGGACAGAAAAATCCTGTATTATTCAGAGGAAAAAAATGTACTAATTTCTCAAAACAATAAAAGCTGAGCCAAATAAGTTATTTTAAGAATAACTTCACTGAGGTTCACCAAAGGTTCATCCTATGTTCTGCCCTGATAACATGTTGGAGCAGACTTAAAAAATAAGAAAGATGAATATAGGGATTCTCCTTGTTTGTCTGATGCCAGTAAACTTTCCAAGTTGAAGTTTGCCTTTAAAGTACTGTTTCAATACGCCTAGATTCCAAAAAGATTATTCAAATGCTTTTAAAGCATTTACATTCTTGGCTACCATAATGGTAAGTGGTGGGTTTTTTTGTTTGTTTTACCAGAAATGCTCATAATTTTACTGTCTGGCAATTTTGCTGGATATCCCAGAGTGTTTGTATTATGATAAAAAAATAAAAACAAATGATTGCTCCCATTTACCTACATGCCATTTGTGATTTTACAGGCCTAGTTAGTATCATGCTTTTCAACATCAAATTGGTTCAGTGATCTAGTTTCTATCACAATACGCTAGGCACCTGCACTGGCATAACTAAAAGCTAAGAGGTGAGGCACCGAGATGATACAGTTCAAATTTATCCACAATAATCTGAAGATGTGATTCCTGGTAACAGCTAATTAAAAACCCACACTTAGATTTGTTCCTTCCACACTGCCAGCAATACATGAAAAGAGTGTCAGTACAAGAAATGTGCTGTTTTGGTGCTCAGAACCCATCTTTTAACACTGAATTTTTAACACCTTTCGCAGTCAGTTTCAAATCTATATAATTTTTATCAAGGGTAAAAGCTCCTTCCTATTTTATAGCACCTTTTCAGACCATTTAATGAATACACTAACAGAATACATCTCAAAAAACTTGTCAGGGAATAGTCTTTGGAATTTTTCACTATAGAGATCCTGAACTGTTATTCTTACCTCTTTGCTCTGTACCTTTTAATTTTCTTTTGAGAAAAACAAAAGAAAACAAAAAAATATCGTCCCACTTTATTCAGTAATCATCATACTCAATTTTACATAAAGCATAGTATTTATATAATTTTATTCAGAGCATATCGCAGTATTCTTTTCATCTGCACCCCTCCTAGAGCAGTGAAATATAAAAGCTAATCAGCAAATTAAATGAAGACTAGAATGTCAGGAGCTGGACAGGAAGTTCCTACTCAGGGTATTCTTACTTTGCTTAGAAACTTCTGCATCTAAGTCAGATGCACTTCTAACCTTGCTTTGAAAACACAGCTCATGTCTTTTCACAGAGCTCTGTGACTCCCTGCAATTGGCCAAGCACACTCATTTAAGGAAGGTGACAGTACTAATCTTGTTACCTTCTCCTTCACAACACTAGCTCACAAAATGTGCAGAAAGAATCGCCTATGTAAATCTTTGTTGGTTCCTAATTTTTGAAATATTGAGGCAGGAAGGCACTAATCAGGAAAGAAAAATCCTCATTGCACTCCTGTTAATCTAGTCAAAAGATCAAGATAATTAGAAAGCTTTACAATATGTTTTTGAATGCTGGCACATTTCCAAATTATTCAGCTTTACTAAATTCAACAAAGTAATTACTGGAATGAGACTTTAATAATTTATTTTTTCCATAAGAATACACTACTTTATTTTTTCCTCATCATTTCAGTTGGTTTCTTTTAATTATGAAGTTTAATTTCTATGATAAAGGCAGTAGGCTAGGCATGATCACACTGAATATCTTAAAGCAGCATACAGTCAGGTGAGGTGAGGCAGTAGGAAAGAGTATTACTGAAGCACAGTTCCCTAAAGAAAAGGGTGAACTTTTAGTCTGTGTTTCATGAGTAAGACTGAAGGACTGTGTCCATGACACTGAGCACTTCCCAAGTACAGGAGAAAATTATGGATGTTGATCCAAGCCACTTTACAGGATCCAGCTGAAGTCCATCAGAGCTACGCTGATCTAAAACCAAAAAGTCTCATTAGATCCACACTTTTCTATGAGATTCATTTCCCAGTTCTTTGGCATACACTTTTTGGTATCTCTCACAGTAAATGGGGAAAGACAGGAAAGAAAAAGAGGAAGTAGGTATAAAAAGCGTTAACAGCGATGCTGTTCATTAAAAGGTTGAATGCATTAGTTAGTTATCAAATTATGGCACTGACATGGGTCTCAGTTATTAATGCATATTAAGTCAGTGCTGTAGTTTTTTTACTACCATGAAAGTGACACATATACGTTACTATTGAATTGTGTTTCTAGTGTTTGTACAAATGGTACAGAAAGATAAGTGTCTCAGCTTCAGACAGCTTTATTAAATATTTCAATTAGCAAGACTTACTGTCATCCATCCGGAGACTTGGAGGGCAGTAAAACTTTTTATGAGTAATTAAATTTGGTAATCCTCTGAAGAGACTCCGGCACAATTTACACTCAAAAATGGTGTCCACATCTTTTAACAAGATATGTTTAAGTTGTTTCGTTCCTGAAATAAAAGAAACATTACACTTAAAGAAGGTTTTCTTTTCATCTTTTAATTCACATCTTTCCATGAAAGTGGAAACATTTTAAAACAACTATAACAGCATTTTTATCTTTTGTTAATGCTACTTCATTGCACTGTAAGTTCATGATACATACTCCAAGTTTCATTATGAAAACAACCCTAGTTCGGGGGGAAAAAAAAAGAAAGTCAAGGACTACGCACATTACAGGGAAAACGCAATGATTTATGGTAAAAACTAACAGCTAACATTAGGAATGAGTCCATACTACATGCAATACAATTGCCCAACAAGAAAGAATAAACACCTAGAGCATTTAAAGAGGCCTGCAGTATTCTTTTCTTTAAGCTTATCCAGCAGGGCTAAGAAAGCAAGATATATACAGCTATTTCACACAAAAATAGCACTTGGCAAGGCAAAAAACTACAAAGCATACAATTAAACAAAAAGAATAACTAACAGGTCCAGAAATGTTACTACATCTAGACATGTGACCCAAGATCAAGATGAAGATGCTTAGGCAAGGAAGTAGAACTGCAGACATTTTCAGTCTGCTGAAAGGAAAATACTTATCATTTAAGTTGGAAACTTTCATATTAAAACAAAGGCAGTGTGACAAAGCATGGAGGTTTTCCAGACTATTATACATTGTGTATTAAAAAAAAACCAAACAAAAAAAAACATGACAAAAACAAAACACCACAAAGATACAGTTTCATCTAGCATTGTTGATGTATTCCAGGTCCTGCTTCGCTTGAACAACTAAAGGATTTGGAGTTTACGTTACACTACAAACTCACTCCTTTATTTCTCATCTCACAAAAACTATGAACGTAACATGTACAATTAGCAATGCATTACCAAATGATTAATATTTAGCCCCTCCAAACTGGAAAAAAATGCTAGATAACTGAATTCAGTTTATTTCTCTATCTTGACTTTTTTCTTATAACGGAATAAAGCAAAGTTAAGCAAAATTAGTCCAAAAGGAAAAAAATAATGAAATTGGATTAAGAATAAATAGTATCAGACAACTTTGAAACAGCATCAAGACATTCTTCAAGCTGAAGTAGAAGTTCAAGTTTTCTGTCATCAAAGACATTTCTCTTAAGAATTCCTTTTAAAGATCAAACCCAGAGTCACACTGCAGAGCTATTTCCTAAACCAAACTCTTTCAAATACCAATAATTTCATAACAACTAATAGTTCATACGAATGGGCCTTACCAAGACAACTTTTTATTTCTTGGTGTAAGAGTAGTGCTACAAAATCTTTTACAACTGAGTTTTAGCAAAGCACGGTGTCTTCAACAGTTGTTTGAAAATCGGCCCCAAGCATGACTACTTGAGGCCACCTTCCAGTTTGTGTCTCCTCCTGTGCCTTTCCCAGGCCACAACCCTAGCCTCTTGTCTTTTCCTCTCACTGCTCTTTCAACAGACCTTACTGCTCTCTACAACTGTCTTAAAGGAGATTGTAGTGAGGTGGGTGTTGGTCTCTCCTCCCAAGTAACAAGTGACAGGACAAAAGGAAACAGTCTCCCATTGCACCAGTGGAGGTTTAGATCAAATAGGAAAAATTTCTTCACCAAAAGGGTTGTCAAACATTGGAACAGGCTGCCCAGGGAAGTGGCTGAGTCACCATCCTTGAAGATATTTAAAAGACATGTAGATGTGGTGCTTACGGACATGGCCTCCAATTCAGTGATAGCACACAATAAACCAAAATTTGGCCGTGTAGTTGATGCACTTCCTAGCCACAAATCCCTCTCCCAAAGTCATCTAATTCTCCACTATTTCCCAATCAAGACATACAAAAGTCCTTCATTCTCCCTCTCATTACACTGATAGTTCAGTCTTTTTCCATTCAGGACTGAAATGGTTTTGTCTAATCCAAATTATTGGACTTAAGAATTACAAGATGAGATTAAAGGATTTATGACATACTGGAGGTCAGACTAGATGACACGGTAGTCAGTCTGGCTTCAAACTATCCTTATGCAACTATGAACCTTTTCACTCATGCGAGTGAAAAAATAATTGGTCCTTTTGAATTAAATTGTAGGCCTTTAGGGACTCTGGGATACGGCAAATAAATTTAAAACATGCACTGGTTTTGTGGACACAGCAGGCAGAGAAAGAAATAATCATCTTCTCATTCTTCACCAACTGCAAATTGTGGCAATGAGCTGTCAGTCTTCTGCCAGCACATGCTGCCTCCAGTTTACTGAAGCCTTCTCTATTTTGTAGTTACATCTAACTGGGGCGTGTGATAACTTATCAAATTCTGTTAATATTTGTAAATGCTGACGCTAGAATAACATCCCTGTCACAAGAAATCAGTACAGAACATGGTTATTACAAATACTTCTCTGGCAGAAATACCAAAGTTTAGGCCTTTAGAAAAAACATTTAGATTCAAATTCATCTGTTATTCTTAATGCTTTGGAGAACAGGAGCTTCTCCTAAAACTGCTTAAATAGTTATGGACAATACTCTGGCTTTAATCTCTATTTCCTTACCACAAAAATCAAAATAGTTGAAATGTTGCTTGTTCAAAACTAACCACCCTAGTCTAAGTCCTTTTGCCTTCTGTCCAACTTCCCTGGTGCAGGAAAGGTACTTGAGGGTGCTTGACTGGAGATGGCAAGGTAAACTATCAGTTTAACACCTGTCAGTGAGGACAATCTGGAAGTAGCCAAGAGACAGGGCACTTGCAACTAGTTCCTGCTGTTAACAGTAGAGATTTCATTTACCTGCTTTACCTGCTTCAACTGAAAGCAGCCTGCAACATCTGAGGCCTCAGGCAATTTCACACAAACTAAAAAAGTTACTAACAACAACCCTCACATTCAGTTTTCCTTCTTTCCTTCCTTTCTGTTGAAATGCTAGTGGAGAGCTTAAATACTGTGCTCTTTCACAAGACTCAGTCCCAACATGCATCTCGTTACACAGCAGCAATGATTTATACATGAAATATTTCATATATATAATAGCTTAATGTGGAAAAATCTAGAAACATATAGATAGTAGCATGAAAGACATCACTTTAATTTTCATAATAACTGCTGTGTTATTGCACCAAGGGTTGTGAAAATAAAACATTTGGTTTGCCACATCAGAAGCATAGAAACAGCTAGAAAACATTAAAGGTTTCAATCATCTCTGGCATGCTCACCCAAATGCTCAGTTGTTATTCTTAGGTTCACTGCTACATATTGTGACTACGCAACACAATCAAGGAACGCCTTAAAAGTGACATCATAAAGCAATTCTAAAAAGTTCAAGGTAAACACTACATTTTCTCTTCATCTCAGGAGTTTTAGGACAAACTCAGTAACAGCAGGAGAGAAGACCCAAAGCAGAACAACACACTAAGTTAAGGTTTTTGAAAGCTGGACTTGATCATCTTAGAGGTCTCTTCCAACCTTAATGATTCTGTGACAGATAACTACACAGTAGGAGCTGTATCATCACTACTTTACATGAAAACGCTTATTATTAAAAGGAACAGCACCTAATTCCAAAAACCTACAAATAGTTCACAAATATGCAGAAAGATAGATGTTGGATATTTTAATATACTAAATATAAATAACTCTTATAACAAGGTAATAAACTTATTAAGAGTCAAGCATAGTTTCATACCTGATCGAAAACACTCAATGATTTGTTGAATACCGGATTTTGACGTTTGCAGAGGCTGCTGTAATAATGGAGGATCACCAGGTTCCAAGAGATGTACTGAAATATATAAAAGTATAATAAGCCATTAGAGAACACTCAGGTGATTTTTATTAAGTTATGGATTTTCTGTGCATACAGTAAACTAGCAAAATAGAACAGCCAGTACTACAGTAGAAGTTGCCCTACTCAAAAATTTTCACATACATTAAGAAACAGTCAATAATGAATTTTCAAGCCATGATACCCACTGACAGTTTGCTGTCATTTTGGCTATTTAAAGAAAGCGTATTCAGAGCTACATGTATCAAACATGAAAACATATAAATATATAAAACCAAATTAACTCACTAGAAATTCCTGTCAATTAAAGCAATCTATGTGACTTGCATCGTTCAAACTGAAACGGATGCACAAAAAAACATTGCCAAATACTGTACTTCACAGTGTACTGTTATTACAATGTTGTTAATACACACCTACGCACTGAATCCAAGCCTCAAGTAGCAATTATCAGAAAAAAGCACATGCATAACTATGTAGTATATACCAAAAATAGCTATTATAACATTTTTAACCAATAAAATCACATTCAAGAAATGTTTCTAGTTCAAGAACATTGCTGAAGTAATATCTTATTTCTGAAGTTTCATTCCATGTCACAATCACTGTAAAATCTATTGAAACCAAAACATTTATTGATCAGGATGATTATTAGTTATTCCAATATGCAGTATTTATGCATATGAAAATTAGTATCTTTCCACTGCTGTATATGCATACAGCAATTAAGCTTTACCCAGAGGAAAAGCCAAATTCAAATGAATAAGAGCACTTATTCAAGCACGTGTTTGCAAAATCATTACTTAGGTCTTCTTGTTAGTTTCTTATTGAAAAAATAATTAGCTTTGTAGTTGTTAATAAATTGGCTCCTACCTTATTCATTTGGTTTGATTTTTAACCCCACTGTAAGGTTTCCATTTCTAAGTGAAGTATTGAACATCTCCAAGAAATTTATTTTTGACAAAGAGCAGTAGAGACATAGAGTAAAACTATTTCAAGATATTAAGTGCAAATGCATTAAACACATTTTGACAAGAAAGTTATTCTAAAAGATGTAAGGTTACAAGTAAATTCAAGCTGAAAAGAACATTAGAAAGAAAAGCAGTCTAAGAAAAGAATGATAGAATGAACACTCCACTCAACTATGCTGGCCCCATAATATTCTATTATATATACGAACACACAACAACCATTACAAATCAGCTAATCGTTTGGGGATCTCTAACACAATGACATATTGTATACGACTAGCCTATTCCCTGTTCTTCAAAACAGTATATTTTGGTTTGCATACTGCCTCTAATATGCATGTGCAACACCCACTGACATCAAGGAGTGACATATGTGAAGCAGACATAACACATCACTGTTATTTGTAAGACAAGAAAAGTATTTTAGTTTTTTTAAAGCATTAGAACAACTCAAAACCATTTCACCTTAAACATAAAGAAAATGTTTCTACTGAACGAACAATACCCACTCTCAAATTACATTTCATTAAAGGAGCATTATTAAAGTTGTCAAGCTTATGTTTTCAACTATTAATTCCCCAAACTGACACCTTTCTTTTCAAAACACAAGTGAAAGCAGCCAAATAAACTCTACAACAAGGCAACAAGGAAGGAAACAAATTTCCTTTTAGGCTACCAACTACAACAGTAGGCAAAACAACTGCAAACATCTAGCAAGTTGGCTGAACCTTCATATTTTCCATTGATGGCACCTTCCAGTGTACTGCTATGTGACTCATTTGGGCTTTTTTCTCCTCTGAGAATAAGATCTTCAAGTTCATCAGAGGCCACCAGAGAAGAAGTAAAGTAAAAACCTAAACACCGAATGTAAGAGATTACCAGAAACATCATTTTACAAAAAATTCAGAATATCACACTTTCTGGAAACAAAAAGACCTGTTGATTTACACAGCTTGTTGCCTTCCTCTGCTCACTGTACACAATGCCCATGTGAGGGCTTGGGGATTATTGCACATCCTGCAGGAAATGAGAAATTATCTTACTGGAATAATTTTAACGTGACAGTTCAAAGATATCAAAAAGACATTTCCAAACAAAATTGAGAAACTTTTTAATATCCAAAACTGTCATTAATGATGCACATTTACAACATCTTAACAGTTTCTGCAAGCTCTTAAGGAAGTGGATAAGTAAAACAACCAAAGCACCACACACCACTGTACCTGGCTCGCAGCATCCATGGTGATGGTGGTCAGTCTGACAACACTTGTCCCTTTGAGGCATTTTCCGTGCGCACGATCTACTTTCCTTCTACATCCAGCAGCTCGTTTCTGCTAAAATAAGCAAATTAAGTGGCTGCCCCGAAGAACAGCGCTAACCTCGCACACCCACATCCTCTAGCAGCACCGGCGGGGCAGGCCAGGAGGCAGCGGCACCCTCGGCGCAGGAGAAAGTTTCCATTGTTTCCGGCAGGTCCCACAACGCCCTCTGCAACGGCC